GCCATAACCCCAAAATTTGAACCTTTAGGAGCTATTTTAACCTTTTTAGTACTATAGTGTACATAGGATGTTGCCGATTTTGGGTACAAGACTGTAAGAACAACAGAGTTCAGCATCTGCAGCACAGTGGCTGGGTGGTATAAGGGGTTGCTTGAGATTCATAGTCATACTGTTGTGAGTTCGAATCCTGCTTGTTCTCTTCCTTTGTCTTCTTTCTTTCAATTTTTCTTTTTGAAGTGGAGAGAAAAATTCCAAGTCCCTCCAAAGTCGAAAGATTACAATGCCTAAGAGGCTAAGGGCATGTTCGATTGGTAAGGATCGGGATCGGGATCCAGATCTCAGATCCCTCGGATCCTTCAGATTCAACTCAGTTAGGGCATGTTCGATTGGTAGGATCGGGATCCCGATCCACCGGATCCACTGGATTCGCACCCTTTCGATTGGTCGAATCCGGATCCGGATCCTTCGGATTTGGATCCGGTCAACCCACCTCGGGGAGCAGGGTTGACCGGATCCAACGGATCCAAATGTGACCTTTGTGCGTATATGGCGGGTAAAAATCATTTTTGTACACATTGTGGTACGCACACGTGGATGGAGATAGAGCTTGTTGACTTTTTGTACGACGCATGCGATGAGTACGACGTTCACCCTTTTGGGTGCCTTGTGAGCGCCATTTTCAACATGGCAACAGTCAAGGTCCAAGATAAAGTGTTCAGTTGAATCTGAAGGATCCGAGGGATCTGAGATCTGGATCCCGATCCCGATCCTTACCAATCGAACATGCCCTTAGGCTGTGTTTACATGAGAAATTTCAACCCGGGTCGAGTTCAGCCCGGGTTGAAAGTCTGTACGATAGACAAAACTCACAAAGAGGTGAGCGTTTACATGAAGACAGTTGACCCGGGTCAAATACTGATATGCCGCCAAAAGTCCACTTCTACAGTCCTGTATGGTCACGTGAATCCGTTCGCGCGAAATTTGCATCTGCAGTGCCGTTCAAACCTGGCGCGAGATACGCACAGAAGTACGTTTGTACGATTTTCTTGACCCGGGTTGATTTCAACCCTCCCCCAAGGGGAGGGTTGAAATCAACCCGGGGCGAAATTTCAACCCGGGTCAAGCGCAATGCGTCATGTAAACGCGCCATTCATTTTATGCACATGGCGGGTTGAAATCTGACCCGGGTCGAACTCAACCCGGGTTGAAACGCCTCATGTAAACACCGCCCTACTGAACACTTTATCTTGGACCTTGACTGTTGCCATGTTGATAATGGCGCTCACAAGGCACCCAATTAAAGGGCGAACGTCGTACTCATCGCGTGCGTCGTACAAAAAGTCAACAAGCTCTATCTCCATCCACGTGTGCGTACCACAATGTGTACAAAAATGATTTTTACCCGCCATATACGCACAAAGGTCACATTTGGATCCGTTGGATCCGGTCAACCCTGCTCCCCGAGCTAGGTGGGTTGACTGGATCCAAATCCGAAGGATCCGGATTCGACCAATCGAAAGGGTGCGAATCCAGTGGATCCGGTGGATCGGGATCCCGATCCTACCAATCGAACATGCCCTAAGTGGTCGATACAAGCGGTCGATATAAGCGGTCAATATTGCGGTGATATGGGTACTAATTTTTATAGGACCAGTCAAGGATCACGAGAATTAGTATAGTGGAGGTCGATATAATAATAATAAATTTCACGGTTCGCGTGAGACTCGGCTGGAAGCCGAGTTTTCCGCATCCGCGTGGGAACGCCACCACCCTCTAGGATCAAAGGCGCAGATGCAGCGCCTAAACGGTGGGAGGTGAGTAGATCAGACCCACCACCAAGTGGTCAAAGACCGAAGTCCCATTAGCTGCATCCATGTTACCCTCGTGCCAGGCCACGAGTTCCCAATTAACTGTGGGTCGCAGCACGGCTGGAAAAATTCCTTCCGCTTCCAAGCAGGACTTGAACCTGGTACCCTCTGTTTCTCAATCATGGTCTTAGACCATCCCACTATGCCTGCCTGTCGATATAGAAGAGTGATAAATCTCGATATACACGAGGTTCCTTTGTTATAAAATGGCAATAAATAAGATAAATTGTGCACTCATAACAACAGCAAAAATGAAGAAAGTCAAGTTCCATAACGTTTTCTTGTGACTGTCATCAGTGGAACGCCGTCACATAAAAATGTAATAACTAAAACACACACTTATATACATGTAGCTAATATGGTTTCAGGTAGAAATACAGCAGCTAACAAGTACAAAAAGCGAAGTTTGCACCTTTGCAATGTGTGAATATAGTGTATGTGAGAAAGGTAGTGGCAGATGAATGTGATACTGTGTGAATGAATGTAATGGTGCGTGTGTATTACTTGAAGAGTGTGAGTGATACAACGTTTTCTTTCTGTTTGCATAGCACAGGGTCACGAGTACGAATATACACAGCTTCCAACACCTGCAATTGCTTGAAGAAACGTGCGCAACGAATAACACGACTGTTTAAATTCCTTTGTTATATTAATTTTATACCTCTCCATATTCACCGTGTGTGACCTCCTCCTCACTGACAACTACTGCTAATTTCCCTTAGCGGTGTATATGGAGATATATACACCACTAAGGGAGAGCATGCCTAAGACTGTAAGTGTATATGGAGTGAGGTATAATGGGTTATATAATGTACATGTACGTACCGGGCGTAGGCCTTTGCGGATAATGCCGGCAGAAAAATTGGCAGAATTCGGTACTTTTTCTGGTTAAAGTTTCATGCATGTTTGGTATTATTATTATTATTTTTCTTATTTTGTATGTGGATAAAGAAATGGAGCATTATTTGAGGAATTGCCCGCCATAAGGTTTGTATGGTTCTGCCAATTCCACTGCTTTTCGAGCAGAATCTGCCACCTTTTCGAGCATTATCCGCCAATGCCTACGTACCGGTACAGTCATGTAAAGTCGTTATGTCTAGGGGCTCCCGTAAGAAGACCAGGGCATAGGTCTGTGGGAAACACCCTAGTAAAATAAATAAAATAATAATAAGGCCAAACTAAAGAAGGTGTGTGGTTCGACTCACCCGACCGACCGTACAATTTCAGCCCGACCGTAACTTTTTTTCGGCGGGCTGTCGTGTGACTGACGTACGTGGACTGAACACGTCCACGTCTACGTGCTGTGCGGCGTGAGTCTGCGGACGCAGGCGGCTCCTATTGGACTTGACTTGTAGTTGTACTGCAGTGCAGTGCAGTGAGTGGTACGACTGCTGCCTTTGTGCTGGTAGTAGAGTCTACTCGATACGCGTATACAGTGTATTTACATGTACTAAAAAATATATTAAAAAAAAAAAATCCGCCCGCCCGCCCGTAAAAAAAATGTCCATGTTAGTCGAACCACACACCTTCTTTAGTTTGGCCTAATGTTGTTGTTGTTGCGAATGAAGTGGATGGCGCCTTCTACTTTTGTCTCAGTCTGTAGTCATGTACATGTACATGTACATGACCTGTACTAGTACATTGTAGGTCTACATTATGATAATAATTATGTGTGTGCAAGACTTGTGCAACTACGATCAGACCGTTGGCACCCTTGCCAAGTACAGTCACCAAGTGGCAAGTGTTAGAAACTTCCGTCTGATCTACTGTAGTACTAGTACTAGCAATACATGACTTTGTAAATTAATTGTAGTCGGGACTACTAGTACTACACTGTACTACTACATGTAGTAGATCTACTACTTACTACTACTACTACTAGTCAGTAGAAACGAGCCGTTGCTGTCTACACAGTACACTCTACACTGCCTACTCTGTAGACTGTAGGCTACAGTACAGACTACAGTCTGTGCTGTACAGGTGTATGTTGTAGGCAGTACACACACAGTACCGGTATACCTGAGTGACTCTGTCCGCCATGACTCATGACATGAGGCATGACACAGTCAGAAGCTTAGAGTAGACTCCTACTACTGTATACCTGGTATACTGACTGTACTGTCCTCCTAGTACTGAGTCCTAGTCCTAGTCCTAGTCTGTACTGTCATGTCTGTCTGACCAGGCCAGGGAGTCGTATCGGACACGACTCCCTGTGTCTGACACTGCACTGATGATTATGACAGCCTCACTACACTACACCGAGTACACCGTCATACAGACATAGACATACTCCATGAAGTCGTGAAGTCTGGCATGTCCCAGAATCAGTGACCAGCGAGGTGATACTGATACTACAGTCATCATGTGTATTACTAGTGCCGCACTACTAATACTAGTAATACTAATACTAATAGTAATCATGGTAATACTAGTGGGCTAGTGGCACTAATGGATAATGGATGACTACTACATGTAGTGCGGACAGAACTGTTTCGTCCTGTACTGTGTGGACTCATCAGCGCAGCACGGAGGAAAGGAGGCCGAACCCGTGATAGCAATGAAAAATAAATTTCCAAAGCCATTAACCAGGCCCGAACGTACCTTGCCAGAGTGCTCAAACTGACAAGTCAGTGAGCTCTGCATAACGCAAACAGCAAAGGCACTACCCCACATGAGAGTGCTCAACTGCTACATACTATTACTAGTACTAGTACTGAGTAACAAGAGCAGGAGCGAAATACTCAATCGATATCGCGATGGTGATTATAGATACACTGTATGTAGCCTAGTGTAGGATCTAGTCTGTCTGTATAAGTTTTAGGCTATTATTGGCCCTATGCCAAGGCTATCTATGCCTAGCGCCTATGCCTAGCTATGGCCCAGTATGGGCAGTATGGCCAGTTTCATGAGAATGGGGGTACCGGACTGCCGGGTTGGCAAGTCCAGCACATGCACAGACTCAGTACAGACAGTGTCACTTGCACTGTCTGTCTGAGTGCTCGGGTCTGCGTTCCACTCATCGGAGTCATCCATATGCGGAGTCGATGATCTGTCAGCAAAAAAAAACGGGTGAGCACGGAGTGACAGCAAGGAGTTTGGCGCCACAACACTCACTTCGAAGTTTTGTGAACAGACTCAGTAGTCAGTATAAAAATAGTACTCTCTGTGCAAGTAGTTCGGTGCATGTGGAGTAGCGAGTGTGGGACGAAGAAAGCTGGCTGCCTTCCTCCTGGACAACGAATTCCCTAGCCATGGCGGAGCTCAGCCTGAGCGATATCCGGAGAGAATTTGATGGAATATGCAGTCGGCTCAATATGGATCAAGCTACTCTGGAGGTAGCGTGGAAATCGTTCCACGATCTCAAGGAGTTCTATACTTTAGAGGTATTATGACAACTGTCGTACGTCTCTTCTCGCGGATCGCTGTTTCTTTCTTCATTACCGTCGTGAACATGTCGTTGTCGATACGTATGCGATATTTGTCGTTGTAGCTGTTCTGTGTTGATGGGCAGCGAGCTTGGCCTCGCTTTGACCAGGTCACAAATTTCGATTTTTGTTTGACCTTCTCGAGCATCGTGGGTACCCAATGTATGTGTTCAAAGCCTGCTTTCCCCTCTTGCTTAGAGTGGACGATGTTGAGTGCAAGTGGTTTGAAGCTGTTCAAAAGATGAGTTGTAACCTGTCAGTTACGCGCCAATAGCCTGTAGAAGGATGGAATTCTGGCTTGTTCAGAATGAGTTTCGAGTGGAATTGTTGTGCGTTCGGGTTGTTGTGTCTTTGCATTTTCTGCACCGGGCATATCCCGATCCTGTCTGCTTGTTGTGTGTTGCGTGTCTGCCTGTCTGCAGGGCAATCAGAACCATTGGCTGGCCTGCGCTCTATTCGTTGCTTGTCGCACGGCTATTATCCCAACTGTGGCTGGAGGAACGAGCACAACTGGAAATCGAGTAACCCTGTACAACATCATACGTGAGACCAAAATTAGGTAAGAGTTGTCCTTTTTAGCGGTGAACTCCTCTCCATGTGATCAAACAACCGTATGAACCCTGCCGGGTTAGAATGTGATCGTTCTTTGCAAATCATGTGAATGGCCACGTGTTGCAATTGAAGTAAGTTTTGAGTCATTCGGCCTCCTCATTCATGCAGTCAAGAATTTGAATTTATAACGGTACACCTTTGGTTTGTTGGTCCCGTTGGCTTCTTTCTGGTCAGAAATTGCTCAACTCACTTTGAAAATATGGGTGTTGAATGTTCGAAAACACGTATTGCCGGTAATGTGGACATTTGAGTTCAGGTGACGCTCGTCCACTCAAACTGAAACGGATGACCATACTATCAGTCATGAGTTCAGGTCGTCTTTGGTGGTGCTGTATTATATTTTATACTACCGGTATTTGGAAGTATTATGGATTGTGGGTGTGTTGAGTGTTAGTGGACCAAGGCAATTTTGCAAGCTTGTGGATGGCTAAAAAATTCTGGATGTATTTAAAATTAAATATTCAGAAGTCTGTGGGACTGAAACTAATTTTCTGTAATTATATTACACACACTGAATGCTGTTACTGTGGTGAGTCAGTCTGGTTTAGCGGAAGTGATGGATGTAGCTGTTGAGCCTCTTTGACACCCCAACAATTAATAATGGACTAGATTTATCTGTTGGTTGTAACACAAGTAACACGGCGGCAATCAGACTAGGGGCATGTTCCATTCTTTGGTTCTTGTAACAAGCTGTGAAAAGCACTGACAACCAGAGAATGTGTTTCGGGGAAACTCAATCCGTAGTTGTTGGCTATGACTAAGCCACATCATGGACTGTGATTGTGCAACAGTTCCCCATATCTTGTCAGAATGTTGTGAGCCAGGTGTTGAGCTATGTTAGTGTTACTTGCATGAGATATGTGCATTGGAGTCTTGTGGGTGGTCAACTATCATCTCTCTCTATGTGTTTTGTGCGCATGCGTTCCTGCTGTTCTTGTGCCCATGCGCATATGTATCTGTGTGTGTAACTCACTGTTACTGTGTGTGTGTGGGGGGGGGGGGGGGACTATAATACTGTATAGTCCACACTGATGTGTTTATCTACGTGTACATGTCTGCATTATTGTGGTACATGGTGTGTGTGGTGTGTGTGTGTTTTTATGCCGATGATGATGTACTCCGTGTGGTGTAGACCAGGTGTGCACTGGTGGTCGATTCATATAGCTTCGTCAGTTGTATGGATTAGACAGTTATCTGGCGCAAGTCTTGATCTGTCTCATTCAGATCTTGTTCGCTATCGTTGCTATAAGAGAAAATCTGTGGGTGCACATCCAGTGCATTTGCAGAAAAATCTGTGGGTGCACATCCAGTGCATTTGCAGATTTGCGTGCTTCTCTTGCGACGGGCGTATACATGGTACATGGTGTGTGTGTGCCTGCAGCTTACTGGAGTTCTTTGAGAAGATGAAGCGCTGGGTCGAGATGGCTCTCAAACATGGCCTGGCAAAGGAGGTGCCTACATTGGTGGACAACCTGGAGCATCGCTTCAGGGTCATTACTTTGATTTACAGAAAGTATGAAGACCTTTTTGATACAGTATTTGCTACACCGAGCGAGGAAAGCAGGAGGAAGACGAGGTAGGATTATGTCGAAATAAGCGTTGCCTTGGTTCTGTTCCGGTGATCTCGGCAACTAAATTTATTAGAGTGAAAGAAGATGCTAGCAAAGACTTGTGGGCTGCCTGCAATTATATGTGAAAAAACATGGTTCACTGATCTAAGTGGCTGTGATCAAGTTCCGTACAAGTGGTAAATATCCAACTGACAGTCATTATTTTATGACTGATACGAGAGAGCTTGAAAGCTCGGGGCCTACGCTATGCTTTTAGCCTAGCTCATCATGCATGCATGTTGTTAGAACTGATGGAAATGTTTTTTTTTCCATTGATTGGATACATCATTGTCGTCTACCACCTTAATGACCTAGGCAAAAAAGCATACATGTAGGGATGTTATAAATTTTTCATTTCTCCTTTTTTCAAGACATACTGTAACCTAGTACCTGGGATTCGAACCCGCACTATCGCCCTGCATCCATTCCCCCGATACACTTCGCATACATACTCAACCTTCCAAGTTGCTTCACGTTACGATGTTGCATTTGAAAGCCCTATTTGAATATTGTGGCGAGCTGTCTTTTGGTACGGTACGGAACAGGTACGGGATAGCGCCAGGCATGCCGACGGCACAAACAAACAAACACGGAATTAAAGCTGTGTGGACCCTGGCTAGCGCCAGACGTTACTGAAATAACGTCTTTTGCATAGCTACGGGAATAATTTCGATTGAGCTCTACTCGAAGTACACATTGTGTACATTGCATACTGTTTGCTTTGGTGTGCAGTATAATGTGCTTGGCATGGCGTGCATGGTTTGAGGAACACAAGCACATGCAGTTGAGACCACAGTGTTTTGGACACACTGTTGCTTGGAACCTATGGTTCAGTGTGTGACTGTCTATATGGGGCCTGGACACACTGGTGGAATGCGTGGCTTTGAAGTTACTTGCACCAGTTACCCTGTAGCTGTGTTTTATTCCAGCGCTGCGAAATTGTGTGAAAGACAGGGTTACGTTTCTTATGCACTTTACCGTATTTCAAGGGATATAAGTCCCACTTTTTTACACTTCAAGCGCAAGGAAGGGGATGCGACTTGTAATAATTGGGAGAGACTTCCTACTTATGTGAATATATTGACACAATATGGCTGGGTATGTAGTATGTACCCCGATTGCTGCCGATGCTTTTCACGGGATATCCAGTGCTTTCTCCCCTAAGAGAACTTCCCATAGCCTTGCAGTCTATAGATATCTCATAACTGTGAAGATTGTTGCTTAGGCCACCCTTTCTTTTTTCGTTGTTTAACGTCCGCGCCCGCGTACCTTTTTGCCTCCGACCGGAAAAAAAAACAAGAAAGTAGTAGTACCAATAATATGCGAAGTTGTAAATACATGATTGTGTAGTTTCACAGTGTGCCGATCATGACCTTAAACTTATAATCTTGCCTCCCGGGCATGCCTTTGTCTTGTGTTCTTTTTCTTTTTTTGTTGGCTTTTAAATATCGTACGGTGTGTGTCCTAGTAAAAATCCAGATGTAATGAATTCATGACATGCTAACTCCATGCTATGTACCTGTTTTGTTGGATTCATCAGGCATGTGCTCCAATGTACCATCAAAGAGTGTTGTTCTATGCCTGCAAGTGCCGTTAGACCCAGATATATTGTATATATCACATGCTTTACTGGTCAAAATGTTTGATTGGGGTTTCCAGTTTTTGGAATGGGCTTTTGTTTTTTTTCCGCCCTCCCGCGTACCTTTTCGCGAAAAAAAGGACGTTAAACAATGAATTAACAAAGGGTGGCCTTATCTCCTCTACGACAACCAATGTCTTTGTTTTGTTTTGTGTGTTTGTCTGCGTATGTGCGTGCGTGCCTGTTTGTATGTATGCAGTCGCTCCAAGTGCTCAGCAGCAGAGCTGCACAAGTTTGTATGGACATTGTTTGTCCATGCTAGGGGTGAGTGGGAATCTGCAGAATACCTACCGTATGGCGCTATCAGTATAATTGTTCTTTTCTCTATTTAATACACTCCTATCTTGCTTATCCGGCCGGTCCAGGACCGGGCACTACCCATAACTTTGAAATGTTTGTGACCATGGTAACTCTGAATCAGATACGTCCCAGTGGGGGGAGGGCCAAAGATCTGGCACATGACGGCACTATTTCCACGAAAATTCCACTAAAACTCACCCACAGGATACCCGGTAAACCGAGGTGACGGTATATTGAGGTCCGGATAAGACAGATATGGGTGTAGTATGTTATGGTAAATTTGCATCTAAATGAGTATCAACTGTTTGAAATTTTGCAAGGCCAGCTTCACTGTTCTGGATAGCTAGCTTGATAACACAATGGCTTGATAACACAATGGCTTGATAACACAATGGCTTGATAACACAATGGCTTGATAACACAATGGCTTGATAACACAATGGCTTGATAACACAATGGCTTGATAACACAATGGCTTGATAACACAATGACAAGCTTGCTAGCTTATACATGTGCTTGTTTGATCCCGATCTCTCCCTCAGCCTCTCAGCTGGCTGTGGGATTTGACAACTGCATCTTGGCTTTTCTTCTTGTCTCACTGACTGATCTGGTGCTTTTGAATATGTGTGATGGTTGTGCTGCAGCGTGTCTGAATGGTGTCCAGGACAACCTTGTCAACAGTTTTCATTTGCTGATCTGTGTGGTGGAAACAATGTACCTATCGGCACAGCAAGCTAATCGTACGGACCTGATCAGTGCCTCCTTCACTAAGGCAGTGGATGGTAAGCAATGTGTATCCAATGCAAATTATGATTGATGGCTATGCCTTGGCATCCTTTTTTGGCTTTGGGTGCTGCTATGTCAATGCTACTTGTGGTTGTGTCATTGGACTTGCTATGGATTTTGGACCGGCTATACGCATTAATCACTCACTGGTGGTGGTGGTGGTGTTTTAATGGTTTGCTCTCTTTTCAATGCTGTCATTTGCTTGGTGTGTGTGTGTGTGTGTGTGTGTGTGTGTGTGTGTGTGTGTGTGTGTGTGTGTGTGTGTGTGTGTGTGTGTGCGTGCGTGCGTGCGTGCATGTGTTCTATACCGACAGCAAGCATTGCAGAGGACCCAGCCAAGGAGAAGGAAGTGGTCGACTTCTTGTGTCAACGTTATGAGGGTGAGGCTTCCCGTCACTTCTACTGTTACTGCTATTCTGACCCCAACTTCCATCACTTTGCATCACTCGGAACTCGTTTCAAACAACCATCTGGTCACCAGGCATGCATGTTTCCTGTCTCTTCTTTGCATCTAATGTCGCTTTCATGCAAGGTTCGTTGCCGGTCATGATTCAGGATTAGTATTAATGTGAATAGGATTTTTTTATAGATCCGTCAATTCTTCTTTTGCTGAAGCTAAGGCTGCTTCTTCCGCTTACCCACGTCGCAGTACAAATGCGTACATTCATGGATCATGTTGCACTTGTGTGGGTGCGTGACTACATGTATCTGTGTGTATGTGTGCATGTGCGCGTGCGTGTGTGAATGTGTTGGTGTGTGTTCACAGCGGAAGTCATGGAAGTGAAGGTGATTAGGGAGCACTGGTGGGAGCGCCATCTTGACGACATCAAGGAGAAGAATGTCCTTTTGGATCATCTTCATGAAATTGTTGAAGGATCCTGTTTCCTGCGAAACAGGTACAGTACATTACTCGGACACATGAGTGGCCATTGCTACTCCGCATTTTGTCACCATCCATCGGGTGTTGCACTCACTGGAAAAACAAGACACGTCCTCACAATCTTGTTTTTGTTTTCTTTTTCAGACATTTTCACAATCTGACACTACCCTGCTCACTCAAACAAATGACGCAATGCACACTTGGGAAATGGGTGTGACTAGCTTACACGCCAAGCCTCTTGTAGATCCGTGTGTGTGTGTGTGTGTGTTTTTGGGGTTTTACCGATGTGTAGTTATGGGTTATATTTCATGGCATTGTCGAAAAAGTGGCCTCAGCCATGCCACTGGCTCTATCAGTTCTTAGACTCTGCAGCTAGGATTTTCCCAGTTCAGTCCCTATTGTTTGTTGACTTTTGGTGTGTTGGTTGTGTAGCAAAAAGCTCAATCGTGAGTATGAAGAGTACGTGCTGAAACGCGGTGATCTGGATGAGCGGGTTTTCCTGGGTGAATTTGCACAAGCGGAGGTTGGCACGCCCATCAAAGTCCCAGCAGGATCGTCTGTGGTTAATGACGGCAAGTAAGTACCGCTTGAGTCATGAGGTGTGTTTGTGTATGTTTGTGTATGTGTGTGTGTGTGTGTGTGTGTGTGTGTGTGTGTGTGTGTGTGTGTGTGTGTGTTGGGGGGGGGGGGGGGGGGATGTGGGTGTCACTGTGTGTGCATGCGTTAGCGTACTGGCTACTTGGGATCTGCAAACACACCTTCTTCTTTTTATATACCAGTATCGGTTGACTGACAGGTTAGCTCTACTGTGTGGGACGCGTGCTTTAACAGTCCTATCTGTGCCATACCGCAGTCAGTTCCACAGCTTCATGGCATCAGAGGTTTGACCTGTTTGGCCTATCCACTATACGTTTTGACTTTTCTCATGCCTTGTGGTAGGGATATCAGCGAACGCACTGCGCAGCCCATCTGCGCAGGTCAGCCTGGCCCATCTACGCGCGGCCGACAAGAAAACTCATGAACACTTTCATTTTTTTGCAAAATAAATCGTGCGAAGAAGATGCACGGAATGGCTGAAAACTAGGCTGAGGAATAGTAGCATCCAGAGACTCTCAAACAAATTCATGGTCCATCGCTTCTGACAATGGCAGCGAAGACATCAGGGAGCTGATTGCAGCAACTCTCTACCAAGCGCGATGCTGGTTACTCACCAGGGCAGGGCGCTTCCATCGCGCAAGAAATGGCCGCGAGCGAGAAATGGAAGTCCGATTTTGGAACGAACCAACCAGGGAAATTCCTTGAAAATTGGCCTGAACACCTCTCATACTGGTGTTTCACGATGTGCAAACTTTCAGAGAAATCGACCGGGGAGAACGTGGTGAGTTCGTGGGTCCTCGAGTATCGCGTATGATTTGAATGGTCGCGGGGACAGAAGAACAGTAATTTTACGACTCCCAGCAGTGCAAACAGACCGCGGCCATGTTTTCTCTGTCGGCCGCGATCACGTTGAAAAAATCGATGACGCAATGCATGCGCAGAGGCCTGCGCAGTGCGTTCGCTGACATCCCTACTTGTGGTCTTTTGTTGATGTTTGTTTCTGTGCTCTTCTGCTCTGGAATTAGGCCAAAGAATCTTGAGCGCTTCTTTGCCAATGTAAGTCAACATGAACTTGACCTGGAGTAGGGCCTAAGAAAAGATTTGTTTTAACCCTTTACTGTCCGTACATACAAGCATCGATCCAATGGGATCGATGGGGTAGGCATTTTGAAATTATCGTAACTTGCTCAAATCTAGGTCTTTTGGAGAGATCGAAATATGTAGGTCGAAGAGAAAAGTCCCAGCTGTCGCCTCGAACAATTCCCGAAGCCATACGAAGAGCGGTTGCTGAGTTATCGCACTCGTAATTCTGGTCCCGGGAAATATGCGTTCAGAGCGCGACGCGCATGTCGACGGCTGGGATTTTCCCTGTTTACGTCACCTGTTGGCAAGGCTACACCGATTCAAATTCAAAAGTAGGTTCCCGGGAGTCTGTACGAAAATATTTGAGCTCGATACGAGCAACAGGGGTGACATGGTGGATTGAGATCGATCTCGAGCGTGAGCTCAGCGCTTTTGCGCGTTCCCTGGCTTGCAGCGCTGGACCAGTGCATCCTGTGGCGCCGAGTGTGGGCTCATTGCGTTCCTCTCGTCAAGACCTTTCCAGGATGCCCAAGATCGTGGAAATCGTCAAATTCAAACCAAAGTTACGTCTAATTTTAGTTTCAGATTTTGTGGTTGCGTGGGCTCGTATACATTTTAATCGGACAGTAAAGGGTTAAAGTTTTCTCAGAGAGTTGATTACTTTTTTTCTGAGAGAATATTGGAAATGACCGTGAAACAAATGGAGGATATGATCTTCTCACTGATTAGTTGTCCAGGTGATGGGACTGGATATGGCCTCCTGGCCTGCGAGATACAGCTGGGACGGTAGTGTTCATAGCAATTGCACGGGACCACTCTGCTGCGCCTAGATTGTCCCGTAATCATAGAATATTAGGTATAAAACGTGTGTGAAGAAAGCAGTTGTTCGTTATGATTATAGAACATCCGTTTACAGGTTACTTTACGCTCAATTTCACAAGCAGTGGTGGGTGTGTTGCTTCTGGTGTCTTCTCCATGCTCTCAACCAAGTCCATTGGACGCAGACAGATATGCACTGCATGGGACATGTTTCCAGCGTTGTGTTTGGTTGCAGTTGGGTGTTGCCTGTCAACCTACCTGTCCCTAAAGGGGCATCTCCATTTTCCAGAACTTCTCGACCTTGCCAAATGGACAGAGTTGTGCAACAGTTTTCTACGTTGTTTGGTGTGTTTGCAACAGGCCAACTCTGGAGTCGTACCCCATACACCACTGACTGGTGATCTGCAGAGGAAGGCACATCTACGATCGTACGTTCAGCACAGGATGCTAACACCAACCACCTGAGTTCATTGCATGACCTGTTACAATTGATGTCTCTAACTTCTACATGTTTACGTTCTCTGCTTCTCCAAGAGTCGCAATATTTGTCAAGCGACCTGTAATACCTTTGCCGTGTTCTGATTTGATATGCTGATGCACAGACCTGCTCATTTGTCGACGCCTGTGACCAGCGCTCTTCACAATCTGTCGCGGATCAAGAGCATCATCAGTAATCAGCAGACTGGCACCCGTCTGGCTAAGCTCTGCAAGTACGTCACAGAAATTGTTTTGATATGAGGAATATACCCATCTTGCCAAGTCCTGCATGTGTGCTGCAGAATTTGTGCTGTGTTTCTGGCAACTTTCTGCGCATACCGGTATTTATGTTTGCATACTTGATTACTTGGTCATATGATCGGGCTTTCTGGATACTACTCTCGTTTGTTCTTCTGTTCAGGGAGATTGATCCAAATCCGTATGAAGCTGTATCCAGCCGTGTGGAGAAGATCAAACAACTCTTTGTAAAGAAATACTGTGCAGCTGTAAGAATGACACACCTGATCTATCTTACTGCATCACCTGCATGTATATATTTTTATATAATATAAAGATTTATACCTACCTTAACCCTTTATGTACGGAAAAAATGTACGTAGACTGAATTTGATCTCGACTCTCCTCAAATTCCAAAATTCTCCGCGTCATAACTTTGGTCTCCTTTTGACGATTTTTTCAATCTTGGGCATCATGGAAAGCTCGTCGCAAGAGGAACACAATGAGCCCACACTTGCCACCAAGAAGGTCGAAACGCCAGCGCGCTACAGCCCAGCGTCTTAGCTCCAACGCCAATATTCCGACAGAAATCGTCTTGTATCAGCCATTTCGCTCTCCGTGCTCGTAACAACTAGTGTCACTTCAAAAATATTTCACAAACTGCCACGAGTCCGCTTGCCATTTTGAACGTGTTTCTACGTCACTGCATGTCCAGAATGATGGGGAAATCCCTCATTCAAATATGCACACGCGGCTATTGAGCGACATTTGCCGTGATTCGACTTTCAACTTCGTAACTCTGGAGCCGCACATCAGAGCGCTTCAGCGATTGTTTCAATGGACAGCTGGCAGTTTTTTCTTCGACACACATACAGTTTTTGGAAATAACCCAGAAATGACTGAGTTACGATCGATTGAAATTTTGAAAAGTTTCGATCCCAGGGGATCGAAAGTTGTACAGTCCGTACACAAAGGGTTAATATAATCCTTTTTAGGATTCAGACTGGTATAAGTCGGATATACCCTGAGCTGGAGTGTATATGGAAAATATACACCATCAAACAAACCTCCTCGGTTTGTATTTGGTGTATATTTTCCATATACACTCCAGCTCAGGGTATATCCTATATGTATGTTCCATTTGAGTGTTTACTATAATTATCTTCATTTATACCATGGTACGGTACGGAGGGCCTGTTTTCAGCCAATCAGCGCTCGTCTAGCCATGGTTATATTGGCCAGTATAAATCCCGCGCGGGATTTATATAGAATATAAATCCCGGTGCACGGTACGTACGCTAGGGCACTGCCACCGTACATGTTCACTGCCTGAAAGGCAGTGAACTTGTGAAAGGCAGTGAACTTGTACATGTACGGCGGCAGTACTCCAGCGCACGGACCATACGTAAACAGACACAACGGACACCACATGCGCGTGTACACTTCACACAGAACGGCACACTGACGAGGAACAGTACACAATGGAAAAGAAGAATGACGTCTACAGAGTATTCTATTATACTGAATCTGAGGATAAAGTCCGTCGAATAACCACGAAGTATCCCGAATGGGTCAGCAATGTACATTGTACTTCGAAGAGTTGAAGATCATCAACGGACTGTCTCCTTCGTAAATAAGTTTATAATACCAGTGTACATGTACTTCAACCCGATTGGAAAAGGCTACAATAGATTGGATTGAAATGTGATACAAAACAGTGTATGCAAATGCATCTACTTGCAAGCAAAACTGATTATGAGATGCCGCATGTGAAAATCAGCACTGTACCATAATTATAGTAACACTTACTCCCAAAGAGTCCAAGCTGTAATCTAACTAGTGACGGTAGTTTGATTCAACGACAAACTCCAGCACCGCAGCAATTCAGTCGACTTCCGCACCGCTCACGACTCAAGACAAGATCATGAAGATGCTACAATATGCACTGGAACTGAAAGGAAATCTTATGCCAAATATCCACGGAGGAATCTCCTTCTGACCTTGCTCGACCATTCTTTCAATTGACAACTGATAACAATCAGAAGATGTTCATGTACTGCATGATGTAGGAGATCTCCAAATAGGTTCGTTGTTCTGGAAATGCGTAGGGGTACCTGGCATAAGTAGGATATGACCCTCGTAGTCGGGTTATACCGTACCCTCATATAAATCCCTCCTGCTATCGCAGTCGGAATTTATATTCAGCCGGTATAACCCTCTGACTCGGGTTATATCCTCTACTTGTGATCAGCTTCACAAGTCTCGATGCTTATTCGATTCAATGAATGAAGACCGAATGGACACATCCAAATAAGTGTTGTTTGATTGCTTTTGCGAACTCCACGTACCGTAATGTCGCGTATAAAAGCAGGTGCTTACGGCCGTATAAGCCGGGTTCAAACCATGCTTCTATTCAAAACATGCTTCTACGTCAACATCATCAGTCTGCACTGTGCAGTGCATACTGTCACGCATGTACGTGTACGTGTACTTTGCAGGGATCGGCTTCTATTTAAACCATGCTTCTGTGTCACGACTCGCTTCAAAAAAATCGGCTTCTATTCGAGTCATGCTTCTATACAGGTCATGCTTTCATACGCGACACTACAGGATCTATTTTCCGTCTTACTGAGACAAGATCCCTGAAAGTGTCGATTTCCAATGGAGTCTACCTTGTGTGCTATTTGTCGATGTCCGTGCTGTGCTACTTTGTCAATGTTCGGTGCTGTGTGCTGCTGTGTCAATGTCTGCTGGTTTGCTCAGGGAAGTGACATTACTAGCCAGGAAGAGGGTCGGACGATTTGTGCACTCGGCTCCTCGCTCTACCTCAAGGTAAGTCTCCATGATATACAACTGAACGTGCACTGTGCAGGGTGCTAAGAATGATGTTGTTTGACACATAGTTCCAAGTAAAATGTTGTACCATTCCACTTGCAGAACATAGCGACGTGCCGGTATATCAAGCGTGGGTACAACTGCTTTTCTGCAATGTAACTTGGTTGTTGGGGAAGATCAGTTCATCTACATTGTATTGCTGTGGCAACTAGTGCAGCAAGAAATGCTAACGTTTCTGCAGGGGCCAAATCCCTGCGTCCACACTCTCAATGTTGTCTTTCAAGGAAACTTCCTGACGGCGTGTCCCTTGTTCTTATTCCAATGTCTTAGGTGCTGGAGGCTGTGGCCATTGATGAATATGAGAAGCGTGGTACAGCCCGTCTGTTGGTAAGTGAAGTGTATTGCTGATGCACACAGCCCTAGACTGTTGTCAATGATGAGCTTGGTAGTTGGTACCCATGATGTTCTGTGCAAATCCATCATAGCTAGCCCTGGCTGGTGAGAGCCATGAGGCAGGAATACTCTTAGGAAGACGGCCCTGTCGCTGTTTCATCTTTGTCTTCCTGTGGCTAATGGTCTGTCCATGGGTTCTTGTTACAGAATCTTCTTCAGGCCGATGACATGCACTGGGCTATGTTTGGCTGCTGTCTTCAAATTGTCCTCGCAACAAAGAACACATCCGACAAGTAAGTGATTGCCAAAGTACTATGCATGTGGTCAGGTGTGCTAGCGTTCCACTCTCTGTAGTACAGCCATGCTCTTTACGACCGATCACATGAGTTGTGTTCAACCCCAGCACTGCCAACAATTGGCTTCCTACTGGTGCTTGTGTGCAAGGCCAGATGTTGTTGAGCACGATTGGGTTTGCTATTTTGCCTCTGCAAGTTGGGTCATGGTTTGATGTGTCTCGATGTCTCTGTCTTCAGAATGTTCCCGTGGATCATTGAAGCAATGGATATCTCTGCGTACTCCTTTGCTCGGGTAGGTTAGCATTCCTCACTCTTAGCCCAACCCTATGTTCATGTTGTGTTCGAAAGCAGCAATTGTACTGTGGACACCAATACATCAGTACACTGTACATGTACAGACTTTGGTGCAACATATGTTCTATGGCACGTGCCAACTGCGGTTGCACCTGGTCCTCGCGTGGTTTTTTTTATCTTCCTGTCTGCTTGTCATGGTGTCAGAAAACTGATTTTTCATTCGTCTTTTGCTTACATGTAGGTTATTGAAAGTGTCATTCACTTTGAACCCAACCTAAGCACATCAATGGTGAAGAGTTTGAAAGTGGTAAGTTCGTTGCATCATGACGTAGCTGATCTGTGCTTGTCCGAAGTGAATGTGCAGGATTAGTAGAGTGGAACAGAAATAGATCATTGTTATGTTGAACCTCAAGGAAGGTTTCATCTGTTTCCTGTGGAACGTTGTGTGCGATACAATCATGTTGAGTCTTGTGTGACATGTAGCTCAAAGGCGGAATCGGGCTGTTATCTGCTGCTGTGAAGAT